GCCCATCTGAGGCGTCTCAGGAGCGCTCGGGGAAGGGCTCGGGAGGCCATCGGGGAAAGCCACCGAAAGCGCCGGGGAGGCTCGCAAGGATCTACAGGGAGGGCACAAGAGAGCTTCAAGAAAATTTGAAATTCTGTAAAATCTTTAGAGAAACCGCTGTTGGGTCGGCCATCACCTCCGGGCGCGCCTTGATGGTGCGATCCAGTCGCATCACCGCCAACGGGAGGGTTTGTTCGCCATGTCCAATTCTGTTCGCCCAGAGGGTCTGTGGAGGCCTTCGGGCGAACAGAACGGGACAGGGCAAGGAATGGGGAAGACTTGTCCGAATCTCCTGGGGCCCCCAGGTGCTCGTCCGAAAAAAGCGGAGAGGTCCCAGGGTCATATCACTTGGCTGCTGTCCCAGGGGTCCGGTCTGCTTGGCCCGAAGAGTTCGCCAAGGCCCCTGGGGGAACAGAATGGCACAGCATATCGGGCAAAGGGAGGCGGTAGCTGGCCTGTCAGACCCGGCGTTCGTCTTCTGCCCAAGCGGCGCGGGGCCCACGGGCCCCAGGGTTGGCGTCCCGCTGGGATTCCTCTTGTTCGCCCACAGGGTTGGAGGAGGCCTCCAGGCGAACAGAATGGGGCAAGACAATGAATGTGGGAGACTTGTCGCAAGCTCCCAGCCCCCCCAAGTGTGCGCCCGAAGGGTGTGGGGCCGCGTTGGCTCCCTCAAAGGGCCGTCTTGGAGCCGTCTAGGCCCGTCTTGAGGGCGCCGTTTGCCCTGATGGGGCCGTCTTGGTTCGTCGAGGGCCCCTCATGGGCGCGTCCGTAGGCCGTCCTGGGCCCATCGGGGTCCTCGTGGGGCTGTCTTGGAGCCGTCTGGGACCGTGAGGGGGCCGCCTTGGAGTCGTCTTGGGCCCCTCCTGTGCGCCTCCTTGGGCCGTCCTGGGCCCAGCAGGGGCCGTGTTGGCACCCTCTTGGGGCTGTCTTGGAGCCGTCTTGAGCCGTCGCAGCGCGCCTTGGGTTGTGCTGGGTCCGTCTTGGCCCGTCTTGGGGCCTTCCTGGGCGTTTCCTCGGACCCTCCTGGGACTTTCTGGGGCCTCTTGGTGCATCGGACCGCCGAAACGGCGGGAAACGCAAAGGGTGTAACAGTAAACAATGGAAAATTAACGATTTTTGCCAGCTGGGGCTCTCTTGCCATCTTGGCCCGTCTTGAGGCCCCGACCGGGCGCGTCCTTGGGCCGTCCTGGGCGCACCCTCCTGGGACCGTCTTGGAATCGTCTTGGGCCGTCTTGAGCGCGCCTTGGGCCGTCCTGGGCCCGTCTGGGGCCGTGTTGGCACCCTCGCGGCGAGGAAGCTCGGAGGCGGGCTCGAGGCCTCTTTGGGGCCATTTTGGAAGCTGTTGGGGCCTCTGTTGGGGCCTCGTCTGGGCTCCTTGGGAGCCTCCTGGGGCCTCTTTGGGGGATTCTTGGCGGCCCCTTGGGGCCTCTTGGGGGCCTGTTTGGGCCTCCTGGCGCCCTCTTGGGGCGGAATGCTCGGATTTTCGGTCCGTGGTCCCCCTCTTGGCCCCCTCTTGGGCCTGTCTTCGGGCCCTCGTGGGCCGTCTTGAGCGTCTCTTGGGTCGTCTTGGGGCCCTCTTAGGCTGTCTTGGGGCGCTCTTGGAAACCTCTTGGGCCGTTCTGGGGCGCTCTTGGAGGCCTCTTGGGCCGTCTTCGAGCGTCGGAAAGCGGAAAAGGCGAGAAGGCCAAAATCCTTCCAAAACCGTCGTAAAGCGGATGATTTTGACACCCAAAACCGCCCAAAACCTCCTGAGGCGGTCCCCTCGTCCGCCCCCGTGGCACCTCTTGGGGACCTCTTTTGGGCTCCTGGGTGCCTCTTGGGCCTCTCTGGGCTCGTCTATCGCGCCCCTTGGGCTGTCTTGGGGCACCCGAGGGCCTTCTTGGGCGGTCCTCGGGCCGTCTTGGAGCTATCTTGGGCCGCTCTTCGGCCCATCTTGGGGTCCCGTTGGCCTGTCTTGGGCGCCTCTGGGGCCGTCCTGGGGCCGCTTTGGACCGTCTTGGGGCCCTCTTGGACCGTCTTGGGGTCCTCTTGGGGACCTCGTGGACCGTCTTGGAGCGGTCTTGGATGCCTCTGGGGGGGCTTCGGAGCGTCGGAAGCAGAAAAAACGAGGAAGCAAAAAACATATGAAAAACCAATGAAAAACAACGATTTTGGCCTCTCGGGGCTCTCTTGGGAGACCACTTGGGAGGCCTGTTGGGCCGTCTTGGGGAGCTCTTGGGCCGTTTGGGGACCTCTTTTGGGCTCCTGGGGGCCTCGTGGGCCTCTCTGGGCTCGTATATCGCGCCCCTTGGGCTGTCGTGGGGCCCTCGAGGGCCTTCTTGGGCGGTCCATCTTGGGCCGCTCTTCGGGCCATCTTGGGGTCCCGTTGGCCTGTCTTGGGCGCCTATGGGGCCGTCCTGGAGCCCTCTTGGGCCGTCTTGGGGTCCTCTCGGGGACCTCGTGGACCGTCTTGGAGCGGTCT